TTTGTTTACACATGACGTGATTATTTATGCAGAAACCCTATGCAATTTTAAAAGAAGGAAGGAAGGATGAACTAAAACTGGTAAGTGAATTTAGAAATTTAGAATGGTCATGGAACTCAAGGTATCGACTGTACTTCTATATATTAGGACAAACAATTAGAAAATGAATTTTAAAAGTAATTCCATTTACAACAGCATCAAAAAATAAGATATTTAGGAATAAATTTAACAAAATATATACATAACTTCAATGCAAAGTTACAAAACACTGCTGAGAAAAATTAAAGAAAACCTATATAAATGGAGGATGTACCAAGTTCTTTTTATGGGAAGCCTCAATATGGTTAAGATATCGAATCTCCCCTAAATTGATCTATACAGATTCAGTGTTATTCCAAACAAAATCCCAGGAAGAATAAACTGATTTCAAAACCTGCTATAAAGATACAGTAATCAAGATAGTATCTTAATGGCATAAGAATAAACACATTAAACACATAGATAAATGAAACAGAAAAGAAAGTCCAGAAATAGATACAAACATATATGGCCAATTGATTTTCAACAAAGGTGCCAAGGCAATTCAACGGGGGAATGCAAATCTTCTCAAGAAATGGTGCTGGACTGCATGCTGCAACTAAGAGTCCGCAAGCCGCAACTAAGAAGTCCTCATGCCGCAACTAAGAAGTCCGCATGCCGCAACTAAGAAGTCCACATGCCGCAACTAAGAAGTATGCATGCCACAACAAAGATCCTGTGTGCCACAACTAAGACCTGGCGCAACATGCATGCATGCATGCATGAATGAATGAATAAATAAATATTAAAAAAAAAAGAAATGGTGCTGGAAAAAACTGAAGAACAGAAAAGAAAAAATCCTTGACTCCTACCTCATACCATATACAGAAAAAAATTCAAGATGATCACAGACCTAAATGTAAATGCTAAAACTATAAAGCTTCTGGAGAAAATGTAGGAAGATATCTTTTGAGATCTTGGAGTAGGCAAATTATTTTAGAGAGAACCCCCAAATCACTAATTATAAAAGAAAAAAACTGAGGAAATGGACTGTATTAAAAAATTTTTTAAACCACGACAATATAATTTTTCTACTTTTAATTTTTATTATTATTTTTTTTAATTTCTTTTTTTTGGCCGCACTGTGCAGCATGTGGGATCTTAGTTCCCTGACCAGGGATTGAACCCGGGCCCCCTGCATTGGAAGCACAGAGTCTTAACCACTGGACCACCAGGAAAGTTCCCCTGGAATGTATCGAAATTAAACACTTCCACTCATCAAAAAATATATATATATATTAATTCATTTCAGTACATATATAACTGCCTACTTTGCTCTCAATTAAAAAAAATACTGTTAAAAAATGGAAAAGCAAGCCACACACTGGAAGAAAATATTTTTAATACCTAGTCCAATAAAAGAAATAATATGAACCAGAATATATTTTTTAAAAACTTCTACAAATCAATAAGAATTTTAAAAAGACATATAACCCAATTTTTTGAAAAGCGAGGAAAAAGACTTGAACAGACACTTCACAAAAGATATAAAATGGTCAATAAGCACATGATAAAGGCTGAAAGAGTCAAAACCTGTCTGGTATTCAAAGAATGAAAATCAGCTCAGATTGAAAAGAAAGAACAGCTCTACCATTCATCAGTCACACAGAAAGCCAACTGCAAAGAAACACTGTTTCTCCCAACGTCATGCAAGATGCCACAAGGACCCCCTCTTTGGGTGGTTATTGCTTCCTCACCAGTGATGCCCCCGACAAGCTTTGCTATGTCCATTCACTCCTGAGGATACTCATGACAGCTCTCCCTAGTGAGTCCCTCCTCAACTTGCCTCAGAAACAACAATCAATCCAAAACAGATCCCTGTTTCTCTTAGAGTCTCCTCAGTTCCTTCAGTGGGAGCCCAAATGTTACAAATTCCCTTCCCTCAGGTACAGCAGCATTCCAGAGTTCCTCTGGAATTCCCTCCTTCCTGGCAATCAAACTGACTTGGTCAAATTACAGAGGCTTCCATTCCTGGCTCATTAGGCTTTAAAGAAATGCTGGGCAATCATTAGTCGTCAGGAAAATGAGACAGCACTCCACACCCACCGTAATGGCTAAGTTAAAAGACTGTCAAAAACAAAGTTGGTGAGGATGTGGAGCAACCAGAATTCTCAGATTTGCTGGTGGGAGCATAAAATGATGCAACCACCTGTAAGATTAAGCATAAACCCACCCCTGATCCAGAAGTCTACTTCTTGGTATCTACCCAAGAGAAATGAAAACATATTCCACTAAAACAAATGTTCACAGCAGCCTTACGCATAATGGCCTCAAACTGGAAACAGCTCCTCTGTTAAAATGGATCAAAATACTGTCTTAGATTCATACAATAGAATACTACTCGGCAAATAAAAAACAGCTACAGATACATGCTACAACCTGGCACAATCTCAAAAACATTACGCTGAACTTTAAAAGACTTGCAGACACAATAGAGTACGTACTGCATGATCCCCACTGTACAAAGTTCAAAACATGCAAAATTAACCTAGAATGCCAGAAATCAGAACATTGGTTATTTATGCAGGATAGGAACTGGCTGGAAAAGGGCTTGAAGGAACTTTCTGGGGTGATGGAAATGTTCCGTATCTTGACTGGGGTGTTGGTCATCCAGAGATGTAATCTGTAAAAACTCATCAATCTCTTTACTTAACATCTGTACCTTTCACTGTATGTAAATTTTAGCTCAATTAAAAAAAAAAAAAAAAAGACAAACCAGTCTTGTCTCATTCTCAGTATAATATTTCACTGGCAGGTTAATAAACTACCATTTTTATTCATAATTCATGAGATTCCACCATAAATTCCATCCGTATTCCTAAAATATTTTTTTAACTACCCTAAGAATTATGGAAAGATAAAACATACACATTTATTTAAAACTTTGATTTGCTAAACTCCAAACCAAACCTATGGATATTAACTTACCCTAAGAGTCACAAATCAATTCTAGGGGTCAGGGGACAGTTAATATTTTATGCTGGGCACTCTGCTTGTATTTTACATGGATTATCCCACTTAGTTTTCATGACAACCCTGTGAGATAAGGACTATTATCAAATCATCTCCATTTTAAACTTGAGGAAACTGGGGCTCAGAGAGACTGAGTGACTTGTCCAGGGTCACAGAGCTGGCAAGCATGGAGCAAGGATCGGAATTTGGGCAGGCCTGGCGGCTTCTAGGTCAGGTTCTCAATCACTCTGCCTTCTTGTGAACCAGGACGGCGGGAACCTGAAAAACTAACTTTTCTAAAAAGATCTCACTAAACCCGAAAAAGATAACACCTAGATCCTCTTCGCCATCCTTCAAGCCTCTGTGCTACTTCCTGCCTCTGATTCACCTTCCACCCTTTTGTCTCAAGTGATGGTTCTAAACTCACCCATGCCTGCCCCCCAGCAAAAGCCCTTTTAGGAGCTCCTCTTGGCTGCTTTGAAGGTACCCTCAATTTCTGGTCCCCACAACATGCCAAAATACAAAAAAGCAATAGAACCAAACATGACTCATTTGTAAAGAAAACAAAGGGGTGTGTATGTGTGTGTTTTCGTAGTGAAGCCATTTTTTGAACGAATCTTATACTAGACCTCAACACAGGAACTAAGGAAAGGTGCAGTTGCTCTCTGCAGGGGAGGGGGCAGAGGTAAGTGCTAGCCCACGTCAGCCACTTTTCCTTGTGGCCACCCCCTAGAAACATCTTGAACTTCGTGTAAGGAGCCCGGGGTTCTGGCTGATCCTCTCAAACCAGCATTCAGAGTCCTCCAAAGCCAAGTTCACTGCAACTTCTCCCAATGCATGTCCCTCCCCCTTGTTTCACTGTCCTAAGTTGATGCACACTGTCCTCAGGGCAAACTCCCAAACTGTCAACATACTAGTTCCATGCACCTGCTCAAACACCTGTCCATCATCTACCTGTAGAAGCAGGCAGCCCCTCAGTCTGGCCCTCCTCATCCCGCCAGCCATCCTCACCCCCAGCTCACAGAGAGCCTCCCCAGGGCACTTCCCTCAGCACCAGCTCTGAGCTCTGGAAGAACTTGTGCTGACACCACTGAGGACACATGGGTCTACTCTCTTGGATTGTTCTTCAATTGTCCCTTGTATATCAGTCTCTCCTCCTCACCAAGATTTAAAGGTCCTACCCAGTCATCAAAAAGATATTCCTCTTGATCCAGTAGCAAGTACTTGGACTTTGGAATCAGGGAGACTGAATGTAAACCCTAGCTCTGCCACTTAATGGTTGTTACACGGGTGAGTCATTTATCACTTTGAACCTGTTCTCTCAGGACTGTTGTGAGAAGGAAATTATTAGTGAAGATGACGATATCACAGGCAAATGAGCTTCTATATTTTCCTTTTTCCCATCACACCGCACCCACCACAGTGGCCAACAGTTAGTCATTAATAATCTCTTCATGACATTCCACCAATAGGTAGCACAGACCTGGCTCTGGGCAAGTTTGCCCCTGTGAGAGCTAAAAGGATGGAGCTCTGCTCCTTGCCTGTTCTAATTTTGTTGACAACGATAATTTCAAGACTTCAAAAAGCCAGGTCTAGCAGAACAGGAACCAAGCGTTTCAGGGAAATCACGCTCAAGAAAGCCTGCCAAGGCGATGTGAGGTCCAACCACACTCTGATCCAGAAAGCTAACGGGCAGCTTTAATGCGGCTCACTGCGGCTTGTAACGCGGGAACGGGCATAAAACCAGGGCTGTTCTGAAAGCACTTGCTACACAGATAGACACAAGTTTTCGCAGGGGAAACACTGTCTTTTTCTGCTAGATGAGCTCAAAGAGCCCACATTATTGAAAATCAAGGAAGAACCAGGGTGTAGGGGACTGGCAGGCTAAGAAACAAAGCAAATGGCTATGTGGGTGGCAGAACTGGACCTGAGACGCCTGGCCCAGGGCAGACAGGAGCCACATGGTGTACCTGTGAAAGCGTGCTGCTCTGGCGTAGAGGACTCTCTCCTGCTGGTGCCACTGCCAGAGCCTTCTCCATGCCTGGAAGGCCCCAGGGAGGGCTCTCCGCTGAAAGTGACTGTCTGCTCTGGCCTGCAACAGCTAAAGTAAAACAATGAATGACCTTTATTTGTACTTTACATTAAAAAGAAAAAGACCTTTCAGGGTCACACTCTAGAGGAAGGGTTGCTTCCTACACAAACATTTTTTAAAATGAACATCATTATTTCTAATATTTGCCAACATGACAGGTGAAAAATGAAATATGATAGGTGAAAATGCTTCCCTTTAATTAAAAGTGAGTTAAGCATCTCTTTATACATTTGTCTATGTATGTGTGTGTATAGATATATATTTATCTAAACTTTTTTCCTATGGCCTAAGTGTTCATCCTCATTGCCCATTTTACTGATTGTCAGCATTTTAACTCTGATATATATGGGCTTTTTCAACCTTAAATTTATTAGTCCTTTGTCTCGTGTGTTATCAATTTTGTTCCTACCCTGTAAAATATCTTTTGATTTTGTTTATAATGTTTATTTGTAGTACAGATTCTTTAAATTTGTATGTAATTATAAATTTCACTGATACATTAGTAAGAAGACAGACAACTGACATAAGACTATATATGCCTCCATGATCCAAAATTTGGGAGGAAAAGCATATACACGTGTGGCGGCTTTTAAAACAGGACTGCAAATTCTTTCATCCTCCTTCCCTTGAATCTGGGTGGACAGTAACTACTTTGACCAGTAGAGTATAGCGAAAGTGACACTAAGTGACTTCCTAGGCTAGGTCTTAAAGGGCCACACAGCTTTTGTCTTGTTCACTGGAACACTCACTTTTGTTGCCCTGAGCTGCGACACAGGAAGTCTGGCTACCCAGGGGCCACCATGCTGTAAGGAAGCCCAAGCCTCTTGGAGAAGTCATATGCAGGCACTCTGGTTAATAGTCCCAGTAGAGCGCCATCTTCAAGTCATTCCAGCCCAAGAACCAGACTTGTAAGTGAAGAAACTTCTAGAAAACTCTAACCCCCTGCCGCTAGATCTTCCCAGTGGAGGTCCCAGTAATCACAGAGCAGAGACCAGCCATCCTTGCTATGTCCTGTCTCAATTTTTGACCCACAAAATCCTTAAGCATAATAAAATGGTAGTTGTTGTAAGCCCCTGAGTTTGGGGTGAGTTTTTACAGAGCAACAGAAAACTAAACAGCATGCCTATGTGTGTGTTTGTGAATACATGGGTACACACATTCCTACCCACAGAGGAAAAAAAATACCAGGTTTACTCATCAAATGTCATCTTAAGAGGCAGGATTATGGGTGTTTTAATTTTTTCTTATGTCTTCTTATACTTCCCAAATTTTCTGTGATGTCTACATATTGTTTATGGGCATTTTCAAATGTAAACAAGAGTAGAAGCAATAGTATAATGAATCCCCTCAAACTTATTGCCCAGCTTCAACAATTAGCAAACATTCTTGCCATTCTTTATATATTACTTTTTAAATAGAAAGAAACCCACAATCAATAATATTTTTATCTTTTCCTAAAATAGAAGGAACTGATGAGCTCCTTGGATATCTACACCAAGAGATAACATTCAGATTGTTAGCTAAAGATTTTTTAAAAAACAACAGCTGAAAAAAACCAAAACAACAGCTGAGCAGGGCTCTTACTATTTTTCAGACCTTCTACTGTGCAGGCCGTGCTGGAGCCCTATAAGAGATAAGGACTCTGACCCTCGACCTTCTACCAGTGCTGGGCCCCAGGGTCAAGGAGATCCCTTTTTTCAGGGAGAAACTAAATGAGACCCTTTGCTTCTTCTCCACCTTGAATAAACATAACCTTTCAACTCTGGGGTTCATGTTCTTTTTCTAAAAGGGCTCTTCACATTCTGCTGTGCTTGCATTCAATGAGCTTAAGAGACGCAGTGGCAATGCCCTTTCCGAAACAGCCACATAATCCAAAGGGACGTGAAAGAATGTACCAATTCTAAACATTTTCTAGGTGTGGAAGGCAAAGGTGACACAAAAACAAGCCATGCCCTGGGTTAGCCCCATCCAAACACCAAGAACTGAGGTGATCCTTGGGGAAAACTCTGAAGCAATCACCGGCAGCTCATCTGTTTGTTCACTCGTGTGTTCATTCACTCATCCAAATACCAGTCAGCAGCTACCCTTTGTCAACAGTTCAGGAGAAGAATGAGGCAGGACAGGCTGTATACCCTCAAGGAGCCCCCAGCCTGGCAGGGAGGGAGGCCAGCCAACAACATGCTATGAGAAAGCTGCACGAGGGGTGGAGCAGGGGGAAGAGGTGACACCTGAGCTGAAAGGGCAGCAGGCAGATTGGGAAGCAGGAGCTAGCAGAGAATATTCAGGGAAGGACCGGCAGCTTGACTGAGTGCAGCTGTGAAGGGGCAGAGCAGTAACAGGAATAGGGAGAGTAGACAGAACCAGCTCCCAAAGGAGTCTGTATGCCTCGCAAAACTGAGGAACCAGCCAAACTCTTTAGATTCACTGTTAGACTCGAGCAGCAGATAGAGGAGGGGGTGGAGAGGACAGCACAAAAATAACCAGGAGGAGCTTTGTTTGTGTCCTCCCCGTTTCACCGCAGGGATGGCCAAACAGGCCTGCGTAGTCTACCTCCCACTTCAAGGCCTGTGCAGACATCATCAGTTGAACACACACTCGCCTGAGCCTGAACGTGGCCTGGAAAATCCTTCTCGGTTCAGCGCTCCAGACGGCTACCTACCATCATTAGAGCCATCCTGGGGCTAAACTACAAGGCCCCCGAGAGCAGGAACTTTGCCTGCTTTGCATCACAGCTGTATCCTCAGTTCTTGGCCTGGCATCTAAGGCATAGCAGCCGCTCAGTAAGTCTTTCTTAAATGGAACTGAATCTGTCTTTCTCTACCTGCCTTCATTAATCACTCAGCCTGACCCCCACCTCCTCCCACCACTGTGGGCACCTGTGTCTCACATCGTTTAGCTCTGGGATATGGCACTCAGGCTCTGCAGCTTCCCCAACATCTCCTGAAGGTCTCAGGAGGGGCTGGCTGAGTAATATAATCAACAATTTGGGTCAAGATGTGAATGGAATGGCTGATACGCTCACCACCTTCAGAGAGCAGCTGCATTTTCAAAGCAGATGAAGGGACAGGAGTTATACAGACTTTCTGACATCCCTGGGGGGTTCTGGGGCAGATACCTTTGAGTTTTTCACAGTACCCTCTCTTCCAAATCAGAACACCAGACCTCTTGGTACAGGCCTTTCCCGAGAATCTTTCCAAAGCAAACGCATCCAAGAATGTAAGCCAACAGAGCTCCCTGCTCTGAGGAACTCCATACCTGCTGGGATCGCCTCTTCTGAGTATACTGCAACCACAATTTGAAACACTTGCGTAGCAATGTTATTCTGAAATGAAACACATAACACCAAGGTAAATGCCCTCCCACTTTCAGGTTTCAGGTTTTCAGAATTTTGTTTTGATTTTAAGGAAGGTAAATCTGGGCATAGGTACATCTTGAGCGGTAAAGGCACCCCAGGGGTTTCATTCTAAGGGAAATAAGAACCTGTTTTCTGTCATGAAATCTGCCAAACCTCCACCCCGACTTTGGACTGTGGCTTGCCCCCCAAATTTGGCAACTTTCTTGTAAAGGTAATTAGACCACCAAGCACAGTGTCTCTGGAACTCAGGTAATATGTATGAAATCCCCCAAATATCCTGAATTTTCTGATTTTACGGCCAAACTCCGGGGCCTGTTTAGGACCACCTGGGTCTGTGACATGCTTTCACACAGTGATACTGAGAGTGAGAACCACATTCAGCTTTGTAAACCAGGATTTAGAATAATGATACATCCTGACAACTCCAAATTGACTCAGTTAAATATTGTGATTCTCAGTGACTCATTAAAAAGTGCCCCAAAATCATACCTATAACTATGCAAAATAAGTTAATTATACTCTTGGGAGAGGGTTTATTGAACATTTTTTTTTTCCCTTTTCTTTTCTTTTTTCTTTTTGGCTGCATTGTGTCCTCGTTGCTATGTGCGGGCTTTCTCTAGTTGCTGCGAGCAGGGGCCACTCTTCATTGTGGTGCTCTGGCTTCTCACTGCGGTGGCTTATCTTGTTGCGGAGCTCAGGCTCTAGGCGCATGGGCTTCAGTAGCTATGGTCCGCGGGATCAGTAGCTGTGGCTCGCGGGCTCTAGACCGCAGGCTCAGCAGTTGTGGCTCACGGGCCCATGCTCTGAGGCATGTGGGATCTTCCCGGACCAGGGCCTGAACTCGTGACCCCTGCATTGGCAGGCAGATTCCCAACCACTGCACCACCAGGGAAGCACTATCGAACATTACTTGCAGCAAGAAAGTGAACAGTGGTTCCCTCTGAATAGTAAGACTAAGGGGTTGAGGGAAGGGGTCCAGGCACACTTTATTTTTAACTTTCTACTTATTTCCTATACATTCTGAGTTTTTCTTGTGGACATGTGGTGCTTTTATTTATTTTAGCTGAATGATTAACTCTAAAAAATTTAGGACACACTCTACACCCTCCAAGACCAAGCCACAAACACCCACTTGCCTGGGCCGTCTCTGTAACACTATCAATGCCTACATTCCAAGATGGAACGTCACTAACATCTGAAAACTGAGGCAGTGGGTAGCGGAGCACCAGCACAAACATCCTCCTTCTACCTCCCATCCCATCAACCAAAAGGAAAAGGCAAGCTCAGGAACACTGGTTTACAGCAGGGCCTTTCTCAATCTGCCACAGTAACACACTGAGGGTGATGATGACTCCTGGAGACCAGCCAGTCAGTCACAACGGGCCCCTGGGGAGCCTGAAGGCCGCAGTCCCTACCTGTAGTGGTCCCAGGCAGCACACAGGAAGGGGAGCTGCTCACTTTCCTCCCTCTGTTCAAGCTGAGACTGCCAGAGGTTCCAGAACCTGTGCAGCAGCTGTAGCAAAACAGGAAGGAAACAGAAGTTGATTAAGGCAAAAGGTAAAATGATCTCTCTTGACCCATTAGTTAGCAAATCTGTAACTCCAGAAGACTGTAAGCTTCCCCAAAGCAGTAATTACCTGAATTTGGAGCACCCAACATATAGAAGATTTGCAAAATAATTATGGCCAAGCAATATGGAATTATTCTGGGCCAACATAAAAGGCAAAAAGTTGGATCTACCAAATCTATGTAAATCAGAATGAAGAAGGTATTCCTAATCTGGGCCTCATGGAAGACAAAGCCATTTTAGAAGTTAAAACTGATCTTATCACCTACTACTGCCTATAAAGTAGTCTTGCCAAAAAGTGTTTAACTTCAATCTAATCAAGCCCTTAGATCTAACTTCTAGTTTATAAGAGCTACACAGGAAAAAGGAAAATCAAATGACGTCAGAATGAAACAGAAAATTAGAGAATATGGAAGACTGTACAAAATAACTGGCATTCCTTTTCAAAAAGTTAATGTTATTAAGAAAGATAGTGTATTAAGAAAGATAAGCCAATCACAAAAGGGCAAACACTGCAAATATGAGGTACCTAGAACAGTCAAATTCAAAGAGACAGAAAGGAGAATGGTGGTTGCCAGGGGCTGGGGGGAGAAGGAGAATGGGAGTTATTGTTTAATTCACAGAGTTTCAGTTTTGCAAGATGAAAAAGGTTCTGGACATGGATAATGGTGATGGTTGCACAATAATGTCAATGTACTTAATGACACTGAACTGTACACTTAAAAACGGTTAAGATGATAAATTCTGTGTATTTTACAATTAATAAACATGTTAAACAAAAGAAGTGGGGGTGGGGGGACTGTTATTGATTAAGAGTCTTAAGAGACATAACCAAATGTAGAGTGAGCCATCAATCTGTAATTGAATCCTGGTTTTAATAAAACAGCTATAAAGACATTTTGGGGGCAACTGGGGAAATTTGAATATGGGTTGGGTATTGGTTAATGAGCATTACTGTTCATTTTGTTAGGGGCGATAATGATACTGTGGTTATACAGGAAAATGTTCTTATTTTGGGGCAATGCATACTGAAATGTTTAGGTGTAAAAGTGTCATAATGTCTGTAATTTACTTTGAAATGATTTGGGGAAGAAAAAGCAAATATTAACAATTGTTGAATTTAGATGGTAAAATAGAGGTTTATTACACTATTCTTTATATTTTTCTGTATGCTTGAACATTTTCACAATTAGAATGCCCCTTTCTCCTACACTCAGAAACACAATCTACAGGTGGAGATAGAATGTTTGTTGCCCTCAGGTAAATTTAACCACTGAAGACAACAGACTCACAGTGCAAACATAACCAAAGCCTCCTGGAATGCAAGACTTAAAGTGTATTCCCTAGGTCAAGGCTGGAATCCATAGTCCCTGACCTCTGATTCAACTATCAATTTTTTTAGCAAATAGATAAAAAAATGGGATTAAACAAGAGAAGAGTTTCTCTAGCCTCTGGCATAGATTACTAAAGAAAATGGACACTAAGGAGTTGGAGTCTAAAGGTCTGAACAAACCTCTAAGCACAAAGGTTAAAAGAAAAAGAAAATGGCCATCAGAAGAGGTGCCTTGATACAGAAGAGGACTCTCACCGTGACATCATGTTGCTGGTGAGCAAGATTCCTTCTTATTCGTTGGAGACGGGCACGGGCCACATTGTCTTTTAGGGCTCTAAAGCAAAAATGCTGTGAAAAGAATGGACACAAATCAGTGGTGTGTCTGTATCAATAAGAGCAATGCCCAAGAGGGTGGCAAAAAGCTCAGTAGTAGCTGTTCACAGCTGCTCCCATGTCCCAGAGAATGTTTCTGTTTTGAGATTCAATTGAGAGCCTGATACAAGCCAGCCTGCACAGTAGACACTTAATAAATAGCTGTGGGACCACTCCCTGTGGTCCACAGATACTGCACAGGAACAAACACACCCGCACCTCTGACCAGGAGAGGTCCCTGTGACCCAGATGGAAACACCAGACAAAGGTCAAAACATCAACTCTGCCTCTCAGAAAAGAGACAGATTCCAGCCTATGGTGGTTTTTTTTTTTTTTTTTTTCCATGTGGGGTCAATGTGTATGCTTACACAATTATAAATGCACTTTTGTAAGAGTAAAATAGAAGGGAGAGAAGGAATTTTGAGAAAAGGTGACTGGCGGTGGGGGTGGGGGTGGGGTAGAGGCAGGACATGCTGGCCTGGCTCCAGCTCTGTCAAAAATGCCTCATGTGTGACTAAGCAAAGCACATTCCCCCACAGCCTGGCTTCAGTTTTCTGAGACAGAAGCGAAGCAACTAGGGCTTTTCATATCGTGCTCTGTGGACCCCTAGAGGCTCCTGAAAGTGTTCGGATGCCACCTCATGTGGTGAGGGTGGGGAAGAGCAGCCGGTAGAACAGACACTACTCCCCAGACCTAGCTTTGTCCACAGCTCTCTACTTTGATTGATTTCGAAGACTAGGTTTCCACCACTTAAAAAGGGGGTCCGCCATGTAGAACACCCCAGGACTAGATCACTTCTAAGGCTCCTTTGCAGCCCTCAAACCCTCTGACCCCACACCATCACCATCTCTGATCCAAAATGAGAATAGGGACATGACAATGAAGGGGGGCTTCATGATGGAAACCATCCACACAACCAGATGCACTTAAGGAGCATGACGTGGGCCAGGTCCCCCAGGAATGGCTGCCTGAGTGAGGCTGTAGCACCCTTACCAGCAAGCCTCGCCTGTGGTGCTCTTCTGCCACCTTCCGCCGCACAGCTGTCTCTGCGCACAGCAGCACGTCTACCACAGTTAAGACTTCTTGTCTCAACAAGGTCCCACCCCAGCCCAGAGCGATCCTAGTGACCCATCTGAAGGGTCCTGGCTGCAGGAGATGATGGGCATGCCAGGTGGGCTGGTGTCCGCCTCTGTCTCCCCCTGACAACCCAGGGAAGAAAGAACTAAGGGGAACCATGTGAGTTACTTATCTGCCTTTCTCCCCTTTCATGCCCATTTCATGAGAGGCAAAATAGTTGAGATAAACTGCCACCAGCTTGAGTAAACATTTCAAAATCTAAGCAGAACCTGCTCCAAGTTCTCCTGCATTCTGTTTTGGCATCACAATCCAGTCAGAAGTTTGTGCTAAAAACCTTGGAGTTATTTTCAAACCTTTTCTCCTCCCATCCCTTCCATCTTCTCGGCTGCCAAGTCCATCTGCTGCCCCCCTAGGTCTCCCTGGTTCTGTCCCCACCCCCAGCACCGTGCAGTACACTTGACTTGGTCCCCCTGTGCCAGCTTCGCTGCTACCATCGAGCTTTAGCCTTTCTAAAGTACAGATCTGCTGCATCACTTCTCTTCTCAAAAACCTGCAGAGGATCCCCAGCGCCACTGGGATTAAGCCCAAATTCCTGACCACTGCACACAAGGGCCCTACAAGCTGGTCCCCAGCCTGCATCTACCTGACCTCCATACCCCACAACTCATTGCAGACCCCGGTCATCACCCCTGGCTGCTCTTCCTCACCTACACCTGCGTAAATGCCACTCCTTACACCTGAACCGCCCTTCCCGACCTCCCTGTTGGGAGAACGTGTCATCCCCCAAGGCTTAAATTCAGCTCAAACATCACCTCCTCGGCTAGATCTCCACAGTAGCCCTAGCAGGACTTGATACAAACTTTTATGATAGCACTTATCATGCCACATTACAAAGACTGGTTTTCATGTCTACTTTCCCCACTAGACAATGAGCTACTGTTAGTCTCCAAGTTTCCCTGTATTCCAGAATTTAGGCAGGAGTTTAAAACAAAGCAAGAGTTCAGTGAACAAACAGAAGTGTGGGTGAACACCCAAGGCGGTCCATATCCCACACCTTGGCACATATTGCAGCAGGGGCAGTGATTAAGAAGGTGCACTGGAGTCAAAAGCCTGGCTCTGTCAATGAGTTTGAAAATCACTTAACACCCCCAACCTGTTTCCTCATCTGTAAAATGGAGACGGTGAGACCTACTCCACAGGGTTGCTATGAGGATTAATGAGATAATACAAAATGTCTGCACACAGTAAACAGCTCAATGAATGGAAGCTAGGATCATAATGACAGGGCCACCAAGGACAGATGGCTTTCTGAAAAAGCAATGAAATGAAACAAATCTGAAACAGAAACGAAATGAAGCAGAAATGGCTGTGGCTATTTCTACCATCTAATGGGTAGAAAAAAGCAATGAAATGATAACAAAATCAGGGCAGAGGCAATGCCTCTGAGGGGGAGGAAAGGGAATGTAGTCAGGGAGGAGCAGACTGGGGTGTGAGCAATGTTCTAATTTTTTGAGTTGTGCTCATTTTACCATTATTCTTTAGACTATAAATGTTTGTTATATGCACTCTTTTGTATGAATATTCCCAAAATGAAACAAAATATTTTAAAAAGAAGTCAACAGAGATCCGAACTGTCTTAAACTGCTGGGTAACTACTTCCTATGTATCTCCTGACTCTTGTCTTATAGGCTGGTGAGCTCTTGCTGTACAGAGAGGGCTGGGTGGTGCAAAGGATACAGTGTTTCCAGTGAATAAAGGCCCTCCGCAGCACCATCATCCTGGCCAGCCTCTCTACCCGCTCGTGGTGGATGTACAAGCTCTCCCTTCGCTTCCAGGCCCACCGCCAATCACAGAAGTGTGTCTGGAGCACAATGACGCAGTGGAATCCCTCAGCCGTCTCTGCAATAGAGAAAATAGCTTAAGTGCTGCCCCCTCAAGGTTGGGCAATGAGCTGGAAGCACCTTTAAGATAGGATGAAACCCACTACTGGCAGGCATCAGTGCTTCAAGGCTGCTCCCACAAAGAACGTTAGAATAAATGGTGTTTTTTTGGCCGTGCCATGCAGCACATGGGATCTTAGTTCCCCCACCAGGGATCAAACCCATGCCCCCTGCACTGGAAGCACAAGTCTTAACCACTGGACTGCCAGGGAAGTCCCAGAATGAAAGGTTTTTAAACACGGGAGGAATCCCTTAGCTATCAGTATATCTCTTCTCTCCCAGGAAAGAGAAAAGGGTTCTATCAAAGGGCTGAGGCTCCTAGTTAGCTACTGAGGAGCAGTAATGGCGACTGCTGCTTTCAAAGAAGACTCCATTTCACTTTTGCATCTTTATCAATGTTTCCCGGATGGGATTTCAGGGTCTGAGTCAATGACACACAACTTGGTCAATATGCTGTCAAAGGCTTTTGTGAGCTTTCAGCCAGGCTGCTACAGGCTGCCAGCTCCATCTCCTTTTAAGACTAATTAGCAACTGGCCTGATGAGCATAAGTCCAGCAAGTGGAAGGGAAGTGGTCCTGGAATGAGAATGCCATAACTGGAGGCACGTTAGTCGGCAGCTCATCATTAAATAGCTTCATGCCTTCAACTTCCAGGCTTGGGCAACCAGACAGGCGGTCCCCCGTCACTATTTTCACACGGACACATTCCCTCTCCCAAGAGACAGTGTAGGCAGCCTAGGAGGTCCCACAGGGAGGCCTAGGGTAAGCAGGAGAGCCTAACCCTGAGGCCAGCACAGTGTTCAACTCACTTCTCTGTGGGCTCAAGAAACTGAAGTACAAAAAGTACCTACGATCATGACCTATTTATCATTACTTCTGACCTCTCTCGGGGAAACAAAACCATCAGAATAGTGTTCAAAAGCTCAACATCATAAATCACATGCATCTGCATAACTGAGGACAAACAACCCAAATATCTATTAATACAAGAATGGCTAGGGACTTCCCTGGCGATCCAGTGGTTAGGATTCTGCACTTCCACTGCATGGGGCATGGGTTCGATCCCTGGTCGGGGAACTAAGATCCTGCAAGATGCACAGCGAGGCCAAAAAAAAAAAAAAAAATTGCTAGGTAGATTAAGGTAAGCCCCTCTCCTGTAAAATACAATCATTTAAAAACTAACATTTATTAACACTTAAAGACACAGGAAAGTATTGATTAGTTGTGTGAAAAAAAAAGCAAGATACAGCCTAGATGGGAGAGGAGTCTAGGGGAGAATGGATACATACATGTATATGTATGGCTGAGTCTCTTTGCTGTGCACCTCAAACTATCACAACATTATTAATCGGATATACTCCAATATAAAATAAAAAGTTTAAAAAAAGATACAAAATTGTATGTATCATACTAATCATAATAATCACAGTATTTATAGCATAATTAAAATCCTATTGAATTAAATATTGATTAAAAAACAGAAGGAAATATCTTAACTGTGAATTGAGGATGATTTATCTTCCTCCTCAATCTCCTTTTTGAAAATCTGTGGTGTAACACGGTTATATCTCCCCTTAATAACTTACCACCCTATTGGCGGTAACAGGCAACAGGAGAGTGGGCACTCTGACAACCCTCTGTCCCTGGAGCCCAGGACTTCCTGCTCACCTTTCCGCTGCCTCTTCTCTCTGCGCACCTGCAGGTATTCCAGCCAGGCCCTCAGGGCTCTCCACTGTTGCCAGTGCTGATGGTGTTTCACTGCGGAGACCATCTTCTGCCTCTCCTTCCAGACATGCAAAAGCTGTTCCTGCCACCGTGACCAAGCCTGAAACCCAGAGAAAAGACAACAGTCAATGGAGGCAGGAAAACAGAGGTGAAGTACTGGTGAGGGAAAAGAGAAACACACACACTGGAAAGGCTAAAATTAGATACACACACAGGAAAGGCTAAAAAGGAGAGGAAATTCCCAAGGAGAATCATAAGTGATGGGAATCTGGGGTGAAAAGATCTTTAAGAAGGGCATTCTCTGCTTCCAAAAAGTAATTTTTTTTTTGGATTAAGAAGGGGGGAAAAAAAAGGACTAATAAAATCAATGCATATACAAGAAGCAGGGACAATCCAAGGGGTGATATAATTAATTCAGATTGGGGATAGGAGAGGAGGATTTGCCTTTTCTTTCAAAGTGAGAGGAAGCCTATGGTCAAGAGGCCCTTTCTCAGGGACATTAGTCTCCAAGACGTGGACCTACAGAAACTGAGGGTCTACAGAAGGATTCCCTTAAGATTATCCATAAATGCACACCCTTGGGAAAGCCTTTGTGCACACTCAGCAAAACGCATGCCCTACTTTGAAGGTGACTGTCATAGATGACTTGATACCTTCTCTTATACCTTCTACCTTTTTTTTTTTTAGTTTTTTTTTTTTTTTTTTTTTTTTGCGGTACGCGGGCCTCCCACCGCCGCCGCCTCTCGCACCGCGGAGCATAGGCTCCGGACGCGCAGGCCCAGCGGCCATGGCCCACGGGCCCAGCTGCTCCGCAGCACGCGGGATCCTCCCAAACCGGAGCACGAACCTGCGCCCCCCGCACCGGCGGGGAGTCCCCCAACAACTGCGGCCCCACGGC